CGTTCAGTGGACACTGCTACAAGTAGGGAGAGACGGCTGCGTAAGCAAAGTCTGCGTCTTGCTCTTTCCCCAACAGCACAGCCCCTGAAGGGGACAACTCCCCTTTGACACAGCATACATTAGAAGTGGAGGCGGTGAAGTCTGAATATCCTGAAACACCCTGATATTCATCTCATCCACCCAGGGGATGGCCTGAAAAGGCTCATGTCTTTCCTTTGCCTCAGACATTAAGATCATACTCTCAGGTCTCCAGCTAGCTATGAACATTAAATCTAGCTGCAGTCTTGAAAACAAATACACTCGTCATAATTTTATGGATTGAAATGTCAGAAAAAAAAAGAATGCAGGGGTGGAAGAAGAAAGCATCTGGCACCTTCTCTGCACTTCCCACCCAGTAAAACAAGCCATATTTTGTGGTACCACATTCATGCCGTTGACACACAATCAGAAACATGGAGAGATTGAGGCAAGTGGCAGGAAAATGTATTTACACAATACAGAGGTACGGCAGCACTTGCAGTACGGTCCATCTGCAAAAGAAGCATGCACACATGCTCCTCACGTCCACGGAGCAATTCAAAGAGAAATATAACTGATTTTTTACAAATTACTTGTGCTGCTTGAGATCACACAAGATGTTGTGAGCATCAGGTCACACTGGAATTGCATATATCACTTCATGTGCTGCCAAATTAACCCTTTACCACTCTCTCCCAGAAAGCAAGGCTTGTACACTGCTAGCAGAGCCATGCGGCAGTCACAGCATCTAAACAACCTCTACTACCTTCAGCCATCTGCCCAGGTGACACCTCTGCGCCATGAGCTTGCATACAGAGCCATGCTCAACTCCACCTGCCAGAAAATGCCGCAATGTGTGGAGAAAAGCAAACTGGCATACCTTCAGGGTAGAGGTGTGGATCCGCGTGGAAGCTGAAGACAGCTTTCAGCAGCTCCCGATCTCCTGACTGGGGAGCTGGGGGTTGCTGGACAGCAGTAGGTAGGTGCACAGTGCCGGTGCCCAGATGCAAGGTTAATGGAGGAGCGAAGCCCTGGGCTGTCTCCAGCCCCATCCCAAACTTGGGCATCGCAGCTCAGGACCTGCATTAGAGTTATGAGGATGCCCAAGGTCCATACAAGCAGAAATGTAGGTGAGAGCAGACCCTCTGCAAAGAATATAGTTTAAAAAAAAAAATGCGCCGAGACTAATTTAAGACCCAACTCTGAATGCTCAATTTTAGTCACACCTGCAGTAAATCAAGAAAATGCCAGGGGATACTCAGGGGAATCCCACCGAGCACGTGCCTAAATGTTTGAAACAGCAAGGCCGGCAGCTGGCTCTTGCGAAACCTTTTGTTAGCCTGACATTTCGGGTGGGAGGAGAACGCCCGTGCACAAGCGCATCCCACACGCCAGGTAAGAGGCCTGTCCCCGGCCCCACCACTGGCGGACAACTGGAGCACTGATCAGTCTTCCTTAGGATCCAGATGCTGCTTTATTAAGGCACAAATGGCTGCTTTTCACCAGGTCCCTTTTGAGAGCGAACTACACAGAGTCCTAATGTACGTGGACAAGCAAGTGTAAAAGCAAAGGATTTTGAGGAAAACAGCCTGCTCAGGAAGCACCGCATTTTGGGACCTCTTTTGAGCATGCTTTGCTAGTTGGCAAATACATTAAGGCGAGAAAGAGAGTGAAGGAGGGATGGAAAGGAAACCCTGTCCCTTCCATCCTGCACCCAAAACGAACGAACAGGGCAACAAACCCAAACACGTGGAGAGCAAAAGGCTGGCATTTTTAGCAGCATTTCTCCTGTATGATGAGAATCACCTTCAACGATGGGGTCAGAATAAACTGCAGGGCAACGACGAGCTTTTCAGCTCGAGAGGAATTATTCATCCTTCAGTGTAACATAATTACACATCCAGATCATCCCTGGGCAATTCTTTATTCTGGTCAAATTTACACAAGTTCCTAAAGGGAGCAGTCAATCTTAATGAACGACTTACAATTTTATCATCTTTATAAGATTTTATTAAAAAGAAGAATATCAGAAGTTTAGATCTTTAATTAGTAAATTTTAACCCTACCTTCACTGCACGTGACCCTTTCTCTTGACAATTCCTTCATTCTCATCAGTGGGAAAACTTAGTGCAAAGATGCTGGCTTAACATTGAAAATAATTTGCAATCTATTAGTCAATAGCAAATTTAACAAGTAAGCTTAATGCACCCATATATTGTGATTCTGTTTCTATAGAGCAACGTGTAATCTCCTGGCACCCAGAGGCACAATTTTGAATGAGCTTTTTTTTAGACACAGCAAAATAAAGAGAAGATTTTGCTTCCTTTGCGCAGGAAACCAATTCCTTATAAGGCAGCCTGTTATCACAAAAATAATATAAGTAATTCGTTTTTCCACTTCAGGTGAACCTAGAATATTTTTCTTTGTATGAGCAAACCAATTATTGTTAATTCACACTGCAGGGAAACCTGTGATGACCATCACCTGTTAAATACTATAGCTGCTCTTAATGGTCAGCTGGGGAATTCAGCTGGGAGTGTTTTATGTAAATAAAGCTGACTCCTCCTTTGCACCATTTTAAAGCTTTAGGGAGAGAATTGGGTCAGGTTTTTCAGGGAAAGGGGGACATTTCTTCTCGCTATTATGTTTTGCTATCAAGAAACATCATGATGCCACTGAATATGCTCTATGAAAATGATCTAAATTCCACCCGGGATAACAGGGCTTTTTTGACTTCTGTGTTCCTGATTCAGATCCACCAAATACAAAAATTTTGCTTCACCCCATCTTCAGCAAAAATCCTTCTGGTCTTACTCTCATCAACTATGTCCTGATGGTCTTCCTTACCTGAACCGCATTTCTATTCACCTGGTTTACACAGCTTCCCAGCAGTTTGCAGGAGGGGAGTGTGTCTTGGTTTAAAGCACCTACTATGTTTTCAGACTAATGCTAGTGATAGTTAAATAGCTCATTGGGTTAGCTTCAGTGACACAAATGCAGCCCACAGGAAGACAGGAGTCCTTGGGCACCTTACTAGTCAGAGCGCATTTTTCTGCAAAGAAATCAGGTATATTCCCCTTTTCTACTGCGGGACTTTTGCCTCCCTCCTGCTGAGACTCAATGCTAAGGGGTGCCCCTATTTGGGGTGGCTCCTCCTCACGGGACACCCCAGGGCGTCACCGGCACAGCAGCAGCCTCCGGATTGTGCCAGCCCAGCGCGGGAACGGTGCCTTCTCAAGAGCAGAGCAATTGTGCGGACTGCCCGAAAAGAAAGGACGAAAGGGTGGAGGGAGCAAACAAGTTAGTTGCGTGGAGTACAGAAATGACATTGCGGTTTCCTGATTTTCCACTGCTATTTAACAGCAGGGTTGGTGTGGCCTGGGACAGGACAAGGGAGCTGACCAGCAGGGAGCCCCGTCACTAGTCTCCTCTCGCCCCAGCACAGCTCTCCCGGCCACCTGGCCTGGGAGCCGCTGCGAAACCCACGAGCGCTGCCTGCAAACCCAAGAGCCCGGTGCTTCGTCCCAGGCTGCGCAAGCTGGGCTGACGTGAGCTGCGTACGTAGGCGATGAAAGGCAAACGATCCAGCACCCCGCTTTCCAGCTTTAGCCTAGGGTCACAGTCGTCTTCTTTTCCTTTTTTTTTTTTTTTAATGTTACCTTAAATTTGGGGTGAGGGGAGGGGTGCGTCAGAGGAAGATCTGCGGTCAGATCAGATCTCAGCCTCCTGAGGCTCGGGGTACCACCCACAAAACACAACAGGGTGTTCAATGGGGGGGGTTCGTTTTTAAACTTTTTTTTTAACTACTGAAAACACTTTTTGTGGCAAGCACAGAGCTCAGGGAATGGCTGAGGAAAAAAAGCATCTTAACTGCAACTTCATCTTTCAAGTAACATAGCCAACATGAAGCATCTGTACAGTTATGCTGTACTGGCGTGTGAGAAACCCCGGGGTAAGACACTGTTTGCCCAGCTTTAAAATAAAATCCCCTCTTTCTTCCCATTCTTTTCCACAAAACACACAGAAGTACTTAAATAAAACACTTCCAATAGCTCTAAGAAATAACAGAAATATCAGAGTTACTATGCTACAATCAACATGGCATTTGGCAAGGTATATTCACTGCAGATTGTCTGATCTAATTCAGAAAACGTATTTTTTTTGTTGGTGGCAGGTTTTTTCTTGTCACTCTTCCAGAATACATTGTTAAAAAGCATATGTCACCGCAAAGCTTTCTAATCTGGAGAACGTGTGCCTGGGCTAAATAACTTTTATAATGGGGTGGAGGGGTTCTGGCTTATCGGGAAAATCAATGTGACATCTTAATTAAAAAAAAAAAAGTCACCTGTAGCTAGAAAGAACTGAGAGACATTTAATCTAAATAAGACTGCAAAAACTGAATTTTCAAATCTCAAGGTCATACCCTCAGCTGTTGTCAGAGGAGGCTGGGGTCAGGCTGATTTTCACTGCCTGCTGATTTAGCCCAGTATGTGGAGCCTGAGCTGAAGACTCACAGCACAGGATTTTGGAAGAAGCTGTAAGTATTACTGCAGCACAAAGACACTTTTTAGAACACAACCCTGCACCCGCAAAAAACGACATCCCTGCTCTTTCCAAGCGTTTTTTGGTGTCCCTTCTTTTAGTGTGTTTTACATTTCTCCCAGTGCCCTTATGCAATTTTAAAAGCCGTTGGTCTATTCTTTAGCAAAAATTTCTTCAGCACCCGCTTGAAATAAAAACAGGATTAAACAGAAATCTCCCTCCAAGCAGAGAATTTAAACTGCGCTCCTTCTGCAGCTTGCTAGATTTAACTTTATATTCCTGTAGCAAGCCTCGTACGCACCACAACCAAAAGCAACTTCTTTCTGCCCGCTCGGTGCTTTCAGATGAAACCGAGGCAAAGAAAGCAACGCTCGCAGCCGCTCTCATTACCAGCTACAGAAAGGGAACAGCTTCCCCACATCGACTGCTGAATTACTCACTGAAGCAAGCCGGACTTCACCCTCTTCAGACGAGTCGCGGGCTGCAGCCGGCGGAGGGAGGTGGTGGTGGCTTGGGAAGTTAGGGAGGAACCGGCAGGGCTAGCAGGCGTCGCACACGCATTTCATCCAGGTGTTTTGTCCTTTCTCAAAGTTATCTTTAAAACACCTGAGAAGACAAACATAAATAACTCTGCTACAGTATGCTCCTTTGCCTCCTTCGCAAGTGAGATGCCTCTTAGTTTTGAAGGTACAATCCCAGCATATAAGCAGTGTTGCTTCCTTCAGTTTTCCCTAAAGGAAAAAATTCCACTTAGCAGAGGGTTGGAAGATATGAAAGGAATATTATTAGACTGATTGCTTTATGAGCCATAGTAACAACCAAAACCTGTGTGATGTAAATACTGCCTGCTACATACATTGCAAGGTAAGTCACTTTTAAAATGGAAGAGACATTTACCTGGCCAAAAAATAGAGAGAGAAACACTTGGATTTAGGTTTGAGAAAGCATGGAGACGCTCCATATTCAGAGTACGCTGTAGTCAGAAGTCTTCAGAAACTAGTGCACGCACACACACTCCCCCGTCCCCGCAAAGCCAACCTGCTGCACCCGCTAACCTGCTGCACCTTCCCTTACAAAAACTGCTCCCGGGGAGACAATACTGCCAGGAAGACTGAGCAAAGGTGGGGTTTGGTGAGGAGAGGACAGGGCAGCAGCGTCGCTCTCTGCGTGCCTCTTCCACAGACAGTCTCCAACGTGGGAACTGCAAAGTTAACACACACACACAGACACGCGCGCGCGCGCGCACACAGGGTGCACGGCAGAGCGAGAGCTGCTCCAACGCGGCTCGACAACAGAAACCAGGCACAGGAAAAGAAGCATGCGTTCCCCTTACCTATTGCTTACGTTACAACACTGAGCAGTGTCTTTAGAGAGCCCGGGCATTGGGACCCCAAGGGCAGGTGACTTTCGGCACATGCACACAGACCCCAGCAAAAGCCATCTTCTGCCTGTCCGCTAGCGCACTGTACGTCTCCAGCAGCTCAGCTCTCCAGCTGCAAACATCTCATTAGACTAATGCATTCAGCACAGGCAGAAAACTCGATTTACCATAGCTACAGCAATGAATTTCCATTACGATGACAGCTTCAACCACATCATGTCCGGAAAACCAGCCAACCACTGCCTTTTAAAGAACACACACATTTTACACGCAGAAAGCGAAGGCCTGCGTGCCGTGTTTCCTTTCTCTTCGCAGCTAAACTCCGAAAAATTTACCATTTGCTTTTATTTCACAACTCCACGAGCTGAAAGGTAAAGGCATTCTGACTTTTTTTTTTTTCCCAACAGCAGTATCTTTTGCAGTAATGTGAATTGCGTTGCAATGAGCAGAGCGGGTGTTTGCAACATTTCTGTTTTAACTACCCCTCCTCTGTTGCCATAGAAACGAGACTGTATCATCATCTCTTTGTCCCGATCGTGCAGCAATGTGGCCCAATATTGAGCTTACGGGATACCACAGATGAGAAGGACCAGTCGCTTGAGGCTTGATAATTAATATGGAAATTGGACGGACAGCGCTTGGGATCTTTTTGTGACTCTAGACGTGTCTGTAGGGCACTGCTGACACACACACCTGTATGCAAACACGCAGGGTCTGGAGCCCAAAGAGTGTATGGACAGCATTACGGGTATGGCCAGGCAGCGATATTCATAGTATGTAGAAATATCAGCTATCACAGCCGTGGCGTGGCGTTTGGGCAGGCTGCGGGAGTTGCTTTTGGCTGCATTTCTAGCTACACATCACAGAACGCCGTTGAGACGGCACAGGCTCTTTGCTTATTTAGCACAGCACTGGCAAAACAAAAACAACAAAAAAAAAGCCTGTCCTACATACAATAAATAACAATCATCATAATTCCGTCACGCCCCATTGACTGTACAAGATCAAATTATGCCGGCGACGGGGTTTGTCGCAGTTGTGTGCAAGTGTCGCACAGCTCGCCGCTGCCCGCTTCACAGGCTCACGTATGCTGTTCCTCAGCATTTACTGCAAGGCAAAATGTACCGCACACCCCTCTCTCTTTATTTCCACCCCTGTGAACGCTTCCTCACATGGGCTAGCTGCTGCGATCGCCGGTTCTGCCGGTTTTGTGGTCGCTGCACTTTGGTTTTTACCGGCTTGGCGGGGGGGAGGTTACTTTTGCCTGGTCTCCGCAGGAGATGAGATGAGGATCAAGCCTGTTATATTTACTAAGGAAGAAGAGGAAACGCAAAGAAACCCAAAACCTGGACTGTTCCCATCAATAAGAGCTTGGCAGCTGGTGCTCTGGTAGGACACGTTGGTGCCTGTCCCGGGGCTGAATAAGGTGCTGAGGGAGGCTGGGATGTTCCCTCCGGTTAGAAAACTTGATACCTTTAAAGAAAAAAATTGAAAAGGAAAAGTAATTGAGGAGTTCGGTAGATCCAGGAGGAAAAAGGATGCCTTTTTTTATGCCTATAAAGTCAGCAGATGTTGTAGGTGTGAAAACATGTATTAGCAGGGCAGAACCGGAACAACTGTTTTATGTCTTCTGCTGGTTTCTGAAAGCTGTGGTACTTGCAAACAGGCTGGGCAAGGAAGCACAGAAGTGCTCTTCAGCCCAGCGTTCATCCTGGCCAAGTCCTGTAATCACCTCTTCTCCTTCTTTTTTATTTTTTTGGGAAAAATTGGGGCCAACGGCATGGTATTCCTGGATTCCTCTACAAGAATA